AGTGACATACAATTAATAGTTTCGATGATAATGTATAAAGAAAGATCCCGATAAAGTCAATTTATTGGAGAATTTCACTTATATATATTTTTAATAATGATATGATCTTGGATAGGGATGGAAATTCGATGGATCAGATCGAAATTAACAGTTTACGGAAAAAAAATCTATTTCTTTAAAATAAATAAAAATAATTCTATTTGTGTTCCAAAAATATTCAGAAAACGCGAAAATTAGAATTTCCGAAATTGAAAAAAAAAACTTCGATAATGAAAATTTGCAGATAAGAAATCAACGGAACTTGAAATCTATTTTATAGTAATAATAATAATAATAATAATTATAATAATAATAATAATAATAATAATAATAATAATAATAATAACAATAATAATAATAATAACAATAATAATAATAATAATAATAATAATAATAATAATAATAATAATAATAATAATAATAATAATAATATATTATTATTATTATTATTATTATTATTATTGTTATTATTATTATTATTATTATTATTATTATTATTATTATTATTATTATTATTATTATTATTATTATTATCATTATTATTATAATAAGTATAATTTTCAATTTTATTTTGGATATTTTAGAAGTAAATCGGATTGGAATTTGTAATATAATATAAATTCCAATTCCGCTAAAAAATATTGCAAATTGGACTTATCAAAACTAGAAATAACAACTATTGTTCCATATAAAAAATATCCATACCGAAATTGACGGAATTCAGAATTCCTGCAGATGATCGATTCATCTAACAAGTCGGCACATTAAAAGGGTATAAATGTCCTTTTATCACTTAGACCCCACCACACCCAACCCCCAACCCACCACAAAAAGTTAAAAATAAAATAGAAAATTAAGAAAATAAATTCACGTCGACTGACAAAGACATTGCTGAAAAGGACTGTTTGGTAATTTCACACAAGGACTGGGGACAGTTGGTCAATCTTCACTCTTCCCTCACTTCTAGTTCAAGTCCCTTCCCTGCAAAGTGTGCTGCTGATCTCTCCACAGAGAGAGAGAGAGAGAGAGAAGAGAGAGAGAGGCAACGAATAAAGCAAAAGGGTACAAAAAACTTGAGAAGAATATGAAGACAACCAAACCCTTTTTTCAGTTCAACTGTTTCAGTGTGATCTTCCTCAATATCTCTTGAATACATCAATTCATCAAAATCTCGGCATCTGGGCTTCAAATTCTCGCCATTCTCGCATTGCCCACGTGAATTTCTTGAAAAATTAACGTTGACTTTTAATTACTGTTGTATCGAAGAAAAAATGTCGATGAAGAACAGAGGCGGAGAGCAGATTTCGAGAAGCGTTGTTGTTGTATCTCACAAATGGACTCTTTTTCTTTGTGTTGCTAGTTTCTGTGCAGGATTGTTCTTCACCAATAGGTGAAAAGAGATTGATAATATATATTTTAATTTAATTTTACTTGGTTGAATCGTCGGTATGCTTACTATGTGTTTGATGAATTGTTTATTGTGTATATATGTTCTTGAATCGGGATATGGCGGTTGTCGAATTCGTTAGTGGATTTAGTGTGTTGCTTTTGGAGTGTGGTGATTGGTTATTTTCGTATTGTATTTCGATATCGAGACAGATTTTTTATTACTTAAAATATGCCGAGTTACTTGTGAAGAATCTGTAGATCGTAGTCGATTTTCGCGTTTTTATACGACGTATCTGCTTGAGGGTTACTTTTGCAACTCGAAAAATATGATCTGATCTTAAAATGTTTTCGTCGATATGGCAGTTATCGAATTCATTAGTAGATTTATTGTATTGCTTTTGGAGTGTGGTGATTGGTTATTTTCGTTCGTATTGTATTTCGATATCGAGACTGAAATATGCCTAGTTACATGTGAAGAATCTGTAGATCTTAGTCGATTTTCACGTTTTTATGCGATGTATCTGTTTGATGTTTACTTTTGCAAATCGAAAAATATGATCTGATCTTAAAACATTTTCATCGATTTAACGGTTTTATACTAACGATGGTAAGCGTTTCGCGACAGACTATGGATCATGCCCGAAGCAAAAGGCGTAACGAGAACAACTTCAGTCGAAGCTGAGAGATTGAAACTTGTATCGGAAGGCTGCGATCCAAAATTTGTCAGTATTAATTTCACTCTAGTCTCAAATATTCCGATTAATTTGATATTAATTGCCGTTTTTAATTTATTTTTGACTAACTCCATCCTTTTGCAACAGGAGAGAGTAAACAGGGTACCGACGGAAATATTCGAGGACGTATCCAAGACTCAACATGCTATGCAGTGAGTTCATTTTTTTTTTTTTTAATATTTCGTCGAGAAGAACCGCAACTTTTAAAGATTCAAATTTTTTTTTTTTACTTTAGTTATAATCGGTCGTATTTTATTGCAGGACACTGGATACGACTATTACGAATTTGGAGATGGAGTTAGCTGCAGCCAAGGCAGAGCAAGAATCGATTATAAACGGTTCTCCAACATCCGAAACCACCGCAAAAAGAAAATATTTCATGGTTATTGGAGTAAATACTGCGTTCAGTAGCCGTAAAAGAAGAGATTCCGTTCGTGCCACGTGGATGCCACAAGGTTCGTGGAATTTAATACCCATTCTTGAAATTGTTTAAACTGCTTATTTTTATAGAATATAAATAAATAATACAATTCTTGAAATTGTGCAATAGGCGAAAAACGAAGGAAGTTGGAGTTAGAGAAAGGCATCGTTGCTCGTTTCGTCATCGGTCATAGGTGGGAATTAAATTTAACACCTTTTATTTAGTTAGAGAAAAGCATCGATTCAAATCAAATATTTTTTTAAATTAATTTTAATTTTGTTAATCTGTTATGTAGTGCAACTTTAGGAGGTATACTAGATAGAGCGATCGAAGCTGAAGATAGAAAGCATGGGGATCTCTTGAGGCTGGTAAAATAAGAATATATGTTATTATTTTTTTCTTTATTTTTAACAATTTATATTATTTTTCACCGCATTTAATTTACACTCGGTTAAATTAGGACCATGTTGAGGGTTATTTAGAGCTGTCTGCTAAGACGAAGAAGTATTTTGCTACTGCTGTCTCTTTGTGGGATGCAGAGTACTATGTTAAAGTCGACGACGATGTCCATGTAAATATAGGTAATAAAAATCTCAATCCTCGGATTTTTCACGAGCTCCTGTATATATTTATATTATATATATATATGTATATATATATATATATATATATAATTTTTTTAATTTTTTAAATATTGCAGCAACACTTGGAGAAACATTAGCAAGACACAGAAAAAAGCCTAGGGTGTACATAGGATGTATGAAATCTGGTCCTGTCCTTTCTCAGAGGTATCCCCATCACCGAAAATCTTTTTTTTTTTTTTTTTTTTTTTTTAATAATTATTTTGGTGTGGGCTAAAATATTGAAAATGGGACTTAATTACGTTGAAAACAGGGGAGTAAGATACCACGAACCCGAATTCTGGAAATTCGGGGAGACGGGGAACAAGTACTTCCGCCATGCTACTGGACAATTATACGCCATTTCGAAAGATTTGGCGTCTTATATTTCTGTAAACCAGTTAAGTTTATTTAATGCATTTAGAGGCATCACTAACAACTATATTTTCGATATTGGTACCGTGATTAATGATTTTTCTTTTTCTTTTTTTTTTTTAAATTTCAGACATGTACTGCACAAATTTGCCAACGAGGATGTGTCTCTCGGATCTTGGTTTATTGGACTTGACGTGAAACACATCGATGATCGGAGATTGTGTTGTGGGACCCCTCCAGGTAAAATCTCTACAGCCAATTTTTCAAGAATTGTTGTCTCCCTATGTGTTTTTGTGTATTTCTTCACGTGTTAAAACGAGACCTACGTATGTACTAGTCTTAGTGCATGCAGTGGCTGAGTGGGCAACAGGGGGGCCATGGCCCCCCATATTTTGTGACAAAATGTAGTATGTACTAATTATGGGTTGTATGTATATGCAGATTGTGAATGGAAGGCACAAGCCGGAAATATATGCGTTGCTTCGTTCGATTGGAGCTGTAGTGGGATTTGCAGATCAGTTGATAGGATAAAGGAGGTTCATCGAAGATGTGGTGAAGGCGAAGATGCTGTTTGGAAAGCCACTTTTTGAGAGTCGCGCGACTACATCGATACATACACCTATATATATATATATATGTGAGAGAGAAAGAGAGAGATCTAGAGAGAGAAAGGAGAGAGGGGCTTTGCTCAACTTCTCCGTATTAGGAGAGAAGTACGTCTGCAAATGCAGTCAAGGAAGCAAAACAGCACTCCTCGAGTACAATAAACCGAAATTGCGATTGTAAGATGTTGCGATTACAACCCTTTTTTTTCTGTATTTAGAGTCGATTTGTAAAGGAACAATTTCTACAATCAATTGTGATATAAAATTGCCGATTGAGATCATTATAAGCACAAAGGAACTTGGTTTACGAGTATTAGCAAATCTGAGTCGAGTTGAATACTTGACTGTTCAAATTTGTTTGAACTTTTATCGAGCTCTAACAATATATGTTTGAGCTTTGATTTGATTAGCGATCGAGTCGAGTTGAATGCATGATTGCTTGAACTTTTATCGAGCTCCAATTAACAGTTATGTTTGAGCTTGATTTGATCAGCAATCGAGTCGAGTTTGAACGAGCTTTAATCGAGGTAAATAAGTCTAGAGCAAGACTCAAGGATTGACAAACTTGATTGTCTTTGAGCTAAAATACAAAAGAATTTGGAAGGCCCATTAATGAAATCCCATTAATGAAATTGACCGGTGAGTGGTCGCGCAATTAACCTTTCATTGAAGTCATTGAGTCATTGACTCATAGTCTACCCTATACCGAGAATGCCCCTACAACTTTTAAACAAATTTCGAGAAGGTCCACAAATATTAATTCAAAATAATTACATCATGTATAATTCATTTACATTACATTATTGATATACCACATGGAATCTACCATATTATCGGTCACTTAATAATTTCAATGACAAATTACGGCCACCCATGAGTTATGGTTAAATTACGAAAAACTCCTTCATGTTTGGGTAATTACAGCAATCCTCCTCAACTATATATTATCTTACGAAAAAAGCCCTCCAGAGGTAAATTTAAGGTTGTTAAATTGGTAAAACCGAACCGAAATTTCGATACTCCAACATTTCATACCGTTTACCGAATTGAATATACGAATTGGTTCGGTAAAGAAACCGAATTACATAAATTTTGTGTCAAAATATTATAAAAAAGGGGTTGACTATATAATTACCCAAACAAAATGAGTTTTTTCGTAATATAGCCATACCTTACGGGTGACCGTAATTTGCCCTAATTTCAATAATACATTAATTATGTGTCTCCTAAGTATATATATGTCTTATTACACACATATTATTTCAAACGTTAATTTCCTCAAACAAAAGAAGTAAATAATAGAGATCGAATTAAACTTTAAAGGAGTCCCGAAACATAAGAAGTAATTAATAGAGATCTAATTCATCAGATGGGCCGGATAGGACGTAGAGGCAAGCCGTGGAGATTTAATGCTCATTGGGTCAGAAAGGAGGAATGTGAGAAGGTTGTTCGCATGGGATGGGAGTCAGCTATGGCACCAGACTGCTTCGATAGGTTGTTTCATGGCATTGAAGCTTGCCAGATGGGTCTTCGCCAATGGTCGAAGAATATTCATAATAACCTGAGGAAGCGTATTGCACATCTTCAGGAACAACTCCATCAACTCTCTATTCAACCTCAGTCGGAACAGATTCGTGCTCAGGGAGCAGAGCTACGGGCTGAATTGGAGAAAGTCTACATGGATGAGGATATTTTTTGGCGCCAACGTAGTAAGATTATGTGGGCTAAAGAAGGAGATCGCAATACATCCTATTTCCACACGGCGGCCACCGTCAGGAATACCACTAATACGATTCATGGGTTGGTTGATCATACCGGAAGGTGGTGCGAGGCTGCCCGTGATATAGAGGGAATCATTACGAGATACTTTGGCGAGCTATTTCAAACATCAAATCCGGACGTGGCTGTGATTGAGGAGGTACTGGAGAACGTGGGTGCGCGGGTGACATCAGAAATGAACTCCCATCTATCCCTACCTTTCACAGATGATGAGGTAATCTCCGCTCTTTCTCAGATGGCTCCCTTAAAATCACCGGGGCCTGATGGTTTCCCTGCCCTATTCTTCCAAAAGTATTGGCACTTACTTGGCTCTAATATTATCTCATGTGTGCTTGATTTCCTTAATCTGCATCGCATGCCTCATAGTCTTAATTACACTTTTATTGTCCTTATCCCCAAAATCTCGCGCCCAAAGAAAATTATCGAGTTTAGGCCCATCAGTCTCTGCAATGTGATTTATAAAATAGGTGCTAAGGCTCTGGCCAATAGGATTAAACCTTTGTTAAATACGATAATTTCTGACACTCAATCTGCTTTCGTTCCGGGCCGCCTCATAACTGATAATGTCCTTGTGGCTTATGAGGTTAATCATTTTATTCGTTGTCATAGTCAGGGCAAACGAGCATATATGGCCCTTAAATTGGATGTTAGCAAAGCTTATGATCGCATCGAGTGGTGCTTTCTAGAGAAAATCTTATTGAAACTGGGTTTTGCGCAATCAATTGTCGAATTGATTATGTTGAGCGTGTCAAGTGTTTCTTACTCTTTTCTCTTGAATGGATCCCAGTTCGGCTACTTAACCCCGAACAGGGGAATCCGTCAGGGCGATCCGCTGTCCCCATATCTCTTTATATGTTGTGTGGAGGCTTTTATACAGATGGTGGAGACGGCCGTGGGACATGAACTCATTAAAGGCATACGGATTGCTCCGATGGCACCAGTAATATCTAATTTATGCTTTGCTGATGACACTATTCTCTTCACTCAGGCGACGGTGCAAGAGGCGGAGACTATACGTACCATTTTGGGAAAATATGCAGCAGCTTCTAGACAAATAATCAACATGGAGAAGTCTACCATTGTGTTCAGCCCCAACACCCCCCAAGCGCACATCGACGCTATTCACGAAGCTCTACCGTTTCAAATTGTCGAGAAATTCGACAAATATCTGGGTTTGCCAGCTCGTATTGGTCGATCTAAAGTGGAAATGTTTAACTACCTTAAGGATAGGTTGTGGTCCAGAGTGCACAAATGGCATGAGAAACAACTCTCGATGGCGGGCAGAGAGGTTCTCATAAAATCAGTACTTCAAGCCATTCCGACCTATGTGATGGCTTGCTTTAAGTTGCCGGATACTATCTTGAATGAGCTCGAGAAAATCATCCGACGATTCTGGTGGGGTTCAAAGACATCTAAGGGCATTTCCTGGGTTTCGTGGGCTCGCCTATGCAAACCTAAGGCAGAAGGGGGTATGGGTTTCCGCGATTTGGCGAGTTTTAACCTTGCCCTTCTCACCAAGCAAGCATGGAGGATGATCACTTGCCCGGATTCCCTTCTAGCTCGGATCTTTCGCAGCCGCTATTTTCCCTCGTCCTCTTTCTTTTGTGCTGATGTGGGCAACCGCCCATCCTTGACTTGGAGAAGTATTTTGCTCACACGATCACATCTTGCGGCAGGATTGAGGAGGGGCATCGGAAATGGGGAAAGCACCTCAATTTGGGGAGACGCGTGGCTCACCTCGGAAGGGTCAGGAAGGGTGATTACTAAACGACCATCTCATACCTCTTCCCCTAACACGGTGGGCGAGCTTATTGATTGGGAGGTTGGTGCATGGGATGTGCATAAAATGCAGCAGGTTCTTTGGGAATGCGACATTGGTAGAATCCTCAAAGTTCCGATTGGGACTTACGATTCTCCGGACTACCCCTACTGGTCCTTTTCTAAGACACGAAAATTCACAGTGAAATCGAGCTATCATCAAATTTTTGAGCAAGCATCGAACCTCGCAGTTTCTTCCTCGACCACGGACACTACGCTCTCCTCTAGCGAGTGGAAGTGGGTCTGGGGTCTCCACCTTCCTCCTAAAGTCCGCACCTTCATATGGCGAGCTTGTATTGACACCATCCCAGTGAGAGTCCTTATGGCGAGAAGACACATGGAAGGCAATCTGTTTTGTCCGTTGTGTCGTACTAGATTGGAAACTACGGCGCACCCTTTTTTTGAGTGTCCATTCTTTTCTTAGGTGTGGCAAGATCCCGTCTTCGGTCTCACTTTGCCCGCAACAAACACCAACTTGGCGGCTTGGTTTAAACTCCTACGGTTTCGACTTGCTAAAGATGTCTTTCTTTTAGCTTGTGTGGTATGCTGGAGAATTTGGTATGTGAGAAATCAAATAGTCCATGGAGAGTCAACTGGGGAGGGTGAAGATTTAGTCGAATGGGCCTCGAATTTCCTCAGTTCCTATAAAGCAGCCTCACTTCCAAGGCTATCGACGAGTCGAGAGTTAAATTGTTTTTGGCAGGCTCCATCGAATCCAGTTGTGAAACTCAATTTTGATGTGGGTTTTATCGAGACAGATAAATACCAGGTGGCGGTGGTGGCTCGGGCTGATGACGGCAGAAGCTTAGGATGGTGTGTTCGCCGCCTTGCCGGGAATCCGGATGCGGTAGATGGAGAAGCACGGGCTGCAATGGAGGGAGTCCGCTTTGCTTTAGATCGTGGCTGGCAGCAGGTAATTCTCGAGGGCGATAATGCACAAATAATTTCGGCAATCCAAGGTAAAGAGGTTGATCCTTGTTTATCATATGGGGCGATTATTACTTCACTCCTTCAGCTGTCCAGCTCCTTTGATTCTTTTTCTTGCTCATTTGTACGGCGATCGGGTAATATGTTAGCCCACGCCTTAGCGCTATTAGCGTATCTTTATATATATATTACGTATCTTTATTATATATATTAAGTATACCTATTATTATTCTTATTTATTAGGTTACCTTGTGTATTAGGTTTCCTTGTATATTAGGTTACCTTGTGTAGTAGGTTAGGGTTTCCTACATGTAACTATATATATGAGTAATATACGTAAGAGATATCATTCTCTCTTTTCTCCAAATATATTTCTCCTATATGGTATCAGACACTAGGTTAACCTAGCCGTTTTTTTCTCTTTTTCTGCATAGCCGTGCCCTACCCCCTTCTTCTCCATGGCCGGCGAATCTTCATCTTCTTCTCCCTCCACCGCCCCTCTCAATCCTTTTCACCTTGCTCATGCCATCTCTAATATCAAATCCCTTATCCCCGTTACTCTAGATCTAAAAAATCCTAATTATCAAAAGTGGAGCCACTTTTTCACGATTACCGTTGGTCGTTTCTGCCTCTCCGATCTTCTCCATGGCAAACCCCGACCGGATTCGATTTCCGCCGACGAATGGCAGCGAGCCGACTATCTCCTCCAATCTTGGATCTACGGCACCATCTTCGACGATCTATCCAGCATGGTTCTCTCAAAAACCTCCTCCGCCAGTGATCTATGGATCGCCATC